TTGAAAATTCAGAAACTGTTGAGCTACAAAAAGCACTCCAGGTGTGAGCTGAAGCTCCACATTAGTCATCTTCAGCATGTTGGTGGACACACGGCGATGGGTCCAGGCCCGGCGGCTAACAGCAAAGAGGTGAGACGCTACCTGCTCTGCACTCGCGTCTGGGTCACAGACGGTTTTTGTGCTTTGACAGCATTGAGGATGTGAGTCGGTCTCACATGCCAAAGTTGAAGTGTGTCCCCCCCGGAGCAGGAAGAGCCTGTTTCATTCATCATGTTCAGTGCAGGCGCGTTAACACACTTACACACACATGCACGAGTCGATACAGCAAATGTGGGTTTCACATCTCGAAGCTTGTGGCTGATATTAGTCGATTCAGCTGCAAACAAACACGTTTGCCTGCATTAGTCACACAAACTGTTACCTACATGTACACTGTCCCAACAAACGCTTTATTGGTGTTAACTCACAACTGCTGGTCGCTGAAACACTTTTCTTTATTATGGAGTAAAGGAGACGAGGAGGTGGACAGAACGAAATGTGACACTGCTGAGTGCAACAAGGGCTTAAAGACAAACATGGCAACCTACAGTTGGACAAAGGCAGTTTAACAAACACGTAACTACCAAAATGTTCTTATTAACATGTAACCTGCATACATGATGGAGTCAACAACATCCAGGGACGAGCCTCTTATTTCATGCACGTGTGTCTTTAATAAGTGTGAACTGTGTGGAGGCTTCATGAAGAAGAACTGCAGTCCGACCAAAGGCTGCATGGAGCTGCATGTTTCATGTTAGCTGAAGTTTGACATCTGCACAGATGTGTACCTGTTACACAGCTGGAGTACCGGAGGTAGCGCGTTTTTAGTCCCACTAACCGATAGCACCAAGTGTGTTCTAGATCCAAATTCAAAGTTGGAATTTCCCAGTTTGATCTGGAATATTCCCTCACTTGGATTTCCAGCTCGGAGCAGCCTGATCAGCTCCATCTATGAATGTGCTGAAGTGATGCTGTGATACTGAGCTGTACTGCTAGCAGGGCCCACCTGAAGCTAGCTCACTTGCACCCAAAGGTGTATGAAACCTGATGGGTGTGTGCCCAATGTTACAGAAACATAATCATTAATAAGGTGATGAGTGCTGGTGGTGGCTGCACAGAGAACGTGGGTGCGACGATATCTGACAGCTACAGTCAGGACGCCACGAAGACACAGTCAGCAAACGTAGGACGATGGCTTGAGATCACCTGATGGACTCTTCCTGCACTTCCTGACTCCCATTAGCATGGTTATGTGTTGAGCAGGTCCAAAACCATAACGAGGGCTATTGTTGGTTTAATCCATGCCGTTTAAATTAAACCAGTGAACGTTAAACCATGTGAGGGACACGTGAGCCGCTGTCCGAGTGCATTTTGTGTAATCTCACACAGCCATTGGCTGCTGCCAACAGTGCTGTGCACTCAGTATACTCGCCCACTTCTAAAAGTGCTCCTGAGTATCCAGAACAACAGAAAGAGTTTCTCCTCAGTTTGAAACAAGAACCGAGTTTGTTCCGGTCACAGAGGATGAAACTTGGGTGTGGACACAGCCAGGCTGGAGACGAGGTGATCCAACGTTTCCTGGCTGTGTAAAATCTACCAAACATACTGACACCATGGCTCCGGCTCCTGCATGGGCCCTCAGATCACACATCAACACATTTATCAGGAATCCAAGGCTATTGGTTATGGAGGCCAACAATCACAATCTTCTGCCCCTGATTTCCATCATCTTTCGCTTGTCGTCTTCCTCTGACCGCTTCCTCGTTCTCATCCTCCTCATCCTCTTCCTGCACATCCTTTGCTCTTCCTGAGGCAGTGTGTTCACCCTCCTCTTCCTCCAGCGGCTCCAGCGGATTTATCAGTCCATACAGGAACGTGAAGAACCCGTTTAACCAATCAGAGCCGCCCTCCTCCACTTCTTCTAACCAATCCAGAACCTGGGATTCACCCTGACCATCGCCCTCACTGGACAGGCCTACGCAAATGAGGAGGGGCGGGGAGGATGGGAGGAAAGTTGAGGAGCAAAACGTGGGAGTGAAGGAGAGAAAGGAAGTGGTGACAAAACTAAGAAAAAGGAGAGTGTGAAACCAAATGAAGGAAAAAGATGTGCAGGAGGAAAGAGAGGAAACAACAGGAGAAGGTCAGAGAAGTTTGCAGGTTAGACAGCAAGGGAATCAGACTTTATCAGCAAAGCCAGGCTGTCTGCACATGACTGCAGAACAACACGTCATCTACTGGTTTAGACGTGCACTCTTTAAAGATCAGAAACTCGTGCTGCATGCTCATCATGTGCAGATAGCCCAGAGGAGGAGAGGGAGCACTGACGCTGGCTTTCTGTGGGAAAGCTTCTCTAATGAAACAGCTTCAGCTTTGGAACCAGAGTTGTCACAGTGCTGCATCTCCAACAGCAACACAATAACCTGAGACATGTCGACAACTACAGGAAGTAATGAGAGCACTAAGCAGAGGTCATGTGGAGGCAGATGGCCCAGGACCACACACGCCCCCACACATCTGTCCAAGTATGAACAAGGCCATAAAAGCTTGTTCAGGCATGAATACCACATGTTTAAAATGTGTCGGGCTGTCCTCCTCGGCTTCTAATACTGTATACATGTGTACTAATGAGAGAGCCTGCACACAGCAGGGTGAGACCTGGGAAGCCTTTACCACAATCACCCTCATTTAGGGTTAGACAGCATGTAGCCACAAACAAAGGCAACCACAGTTTCAGACACCAGTCAAGTCTTACGTGCATTTGGTGTCCTGGTGTCAGATTTCTGCTTTGGTGCAAATGAACAGATCTACTGTGGCTTTAATGTGATCCTTAGGATGAAGACCCGGGGTCAGGGTTCATGTGAAGTCCAATGATCACTGATAACTCTGAGGGGGCCGATCTGACACATGGAGGATTTATTTCCACACAGATAAAAGGGGGATAAAACATCCCCATGAAGAAGAAGGATGGTCATCGTCAAGGTTCTGGTAGTTTTAACAGCTTCAGATGAAGACAAGTGAACCTGGAGATGTTCCCTTCTTATCGTTCAGTTCTAAAACCAACAGTGGGAGCCCCCGGTGGGTAGTGGGCGTCGTCCCTCAGCAGCTTCTCATTGACCCACCATTCGTCATGTGCCTCATCACATGAGCCAAGATGTGGAAAAAGGTTTGGTCATTACATCCAGAGGCTTTGGGCGAAACCACTGTGAGACCTTGCCCCATCCTGTCACGTGACCTTCTGAGATCACCTGACCAAGATGTGAGTGAGGGCTGAGGCTGCAGTGCAGGCGGCAGACAGTCGCTGTGATAAACCACAACCACGGTCGGTCACAGTGGACACAGATGTTCTCTTTTACTGTCAATCTGTGAACACTGGCATCCTCCAAAGAGTGACCTTTGACCTTTAGGTGCACATGTACAGCCGAGTCTCGTCATGTCGAGGTGGCTCCGTTGC